CCCACACCCACACCTCTGGAGGGTTCTACTGTGCATGCACACAGATCTCCTCAAAATTTAAAGAGATAGTTTCCACTTAAAACCAAATAGCCACAACTGGCCTTGAACTGTTTATAAATAGAAAAAAGGCCAGAATGGGGATTGTGGAGTGGGACCGGCAGACTAGAAAGGAAATAGGCTGAAAATTAAATCCTGAGATACATCACAATGACCAATGGTGGCATCTTAAAATTTCTCAGGAAGAAGAGTGAAAAGGGAAGCCCATCTCCTGATCACATCTACCTGGAGGCAATCAGAAAGCTTAAAAAATACCAAAATACACACTCATCTAAGTATTAAGGTCACAGATAACTCCTGAATATGCCCCAAAAAAACAGAAGCAGATGACCATATCAGCACATGTCCAGAAACAAGATAAAGTGACTGAGGTAAATGAGCTGGAAGTAGACCATACTGGAAGATGGGCAGGCTTTCGAAATGCCTGAGAAGGAATTCAGAAACATGATTATAAAATGTATCAAAACATGATACAATGGTGTTGAGAAAAATAAAGAAGAAGTCAGGAAATCACTACAGGAACAATCAAATAAGCATTGGAAACGATCCAAAACGTACAGAAAGAGGTCAAAATGATTAATAATAGAATATCAGAAATGGACAATACACTGAAAGGGCAAAGGAATAGAATTGAAGAGAAGCCAGAACTAGTGAGCTAGAAGATAAATCTCTCAACACTACTAAGATACAAGAGCAAACACAAAAAAGGTTTAAAAACCTGAAGAAGGCCTAAGATTCATGTTGGACAACATGAAGAGGAGTAACTTAAGAATTATTGGTATTCCAAAACAGGAATAATCACACAAGTCCACAGAGGAGATAGTTGAAGAGCTTCTGGAAGAAAATTTTCCTAACATCCTGAAAAGTGAAAAGATAGCTCAACTGAAAAGTGAAAAGATAGCATTCAGGAAGGATAGACCCTAAAAGACAATCACCAAGACATATAATAATCAAGCTCTCCAAAATCAAAGATAAGGACAGAATCCTGAAAGCAGTTAGGGAAAAGAGAAGTGTAACATACAAAGGCAAGCAAATCAAATTAAGCTCGGATCTATCAACAGAAACCATGCAGGCAAGAAGGCAATAGGGAGACATATATAAAACCC